CTGAAAGGTTATTTTGCTTTGGGGGTTCTTGCACATTCCTGCCACTGAAGCAGCTGATGCTGGTGCTATTGGAGACAGAATATTGGACATGAGGAGCCCTGATCTGATCTGGTATGGCAATTATTATCATCTTGAGAGATGCATCAGACAAATTTCAATTATGGAAAGGCTTTTCCAATTAATAACGACTATTCTGTAATGCTCAGCATGGCCAGACAGTGAAAGGAAGCACGTTTGTCTTTAATAAAAGCACTGTTAAAATTGTGATCGCTCTTACTGACTGTCCCCTAAATTTCAGCAAAAAAAGACCATGAAATTTTTGAACATACATAGATTAAGAAAAAAAAAAAAACAGTCCTTATTTACTAAAAGTATAACTAAGTGCTTTAAAATGCCTTGCAACCTGGAGTGCTTTTTATAAACAGGCCTGTGTGTCTGTTCCTTGAATATCGTGTATTAGGGGAAAAAGGAACCCTGGAGGCTGCCTTTGTGGCAGTTCTCAGGAGGCTTTTCCAGTTGATGCCTGACCAGGCAGCAGGGTTGAAAGTTGCCATCAGAGTGGGCACAACTGCAGCTGCACATGGGATTTTGCTCCGAGTTAAAAGCAGGGAATCAGCTGGACATCAGCGTGGGCATCCTCAGGGCCTGCAGAAAGGCAAAGACGGTTATTCCCTGTGTGCTCAGTGGCCAAAAATTCCAGGAGGAAACACTGTTGCTTCCTCTAAGGAATTCAGAGCTGCTTAGAGATGTTTGGTAAGTCCTTCTCCAAGCACAGTGGGAGCTTCAGGAGGAGCCGTGGGCGCCACGCGAGTGCGAACGGGACTCAACTGCAATTAGACGCAGCCTCGTTACCACGTTTTCGGTTTTGCTTCCTAAATGAAGCGAGTGTGAGAGCAGTGTGTGTGTGTGCACGTTATGAGAGTAGCTGATTGCACAGTTGGCCACAGTTTTATGGCTCTGCTTTGCTGCAATAACCTCGACAAAGCCGCTGCTTACTGACCACCCGTTCGTTTGGCAATTCGTTCCCCTGCCTGTGAGCTAGTGTGCACTTCCAAGTAATCAATAGCTTCCTTTTTCTGCACATAAAATTCCCTCCATAAAACTACTCTGCCTCTTGTTTTAACACCTTTTTATTTTTATTTTTTTCCTTTTTTTTTCTGGAAATCAAATCGGGGAGGGGGACTCTAGATTGCCAAATCTGGAGTGCTTTTTGAGCCCAATTCTGGTTAAGATATTTTAAGAACTTTATGGCATTTGAACACTGGCTTTATTTTTTTATTTTTATTTTTTTATTACTCTTGCTAGGGTGGCTAATCAACTAATTTATTTAATTCATTAGTATATTAATTTCTATTGCTTTCTTCCTTTCAAATGCTGCCCCTCAGCCCGTCTGGCATGTTTGATTATGACTTTGAGTAAGTTTGACTTGAATTAGTTCTTGTGCTGTGTTGTTAGTGTGTAGACACCAATGTGCCTTTTGAGACCTTTCTAACCCATAGTTTATCTGTTTAATTGTAGGTATGTATATTAGGTTAGGCTGGGAAGTTTTTTTTAAAAACAGAAAAGCGTGATGGAGGTAACATTTTATTTAATAACTTTAGCAAAATTAAATTAACTTCACTCTTCTTTACCTCTCTATTCCATTTTTAAATAGATAAACTTTTTTAACTTAAAAACTTAGTTAAATTCTGATTCTTCTGGCTTTGCTTCATAAGGAGATTAGTGTAGATTTGGATATTTCCTTCTGAAAAAATGTAATAAGCTCAATACCCTTGGCCTGTCTAATACCTGTCAGCTCACACTCCTATTTCTATTCCAGTAAATAATTGTTAGCACTGTGTCTGAATAATTACCTATGGCATAGTTACACATCTAACAAATTAACATAGAGCATGCATATTTAACCTTATTTCTCTATGCTGTGTAACGGCCCTTGATTTTTATTATGATCTTTTATTAACTCTTTTTCCGAGTGGGCGGAATATGCATTTTTGGCAAAAAAAATAAAGAATCCACTCTCTTCTCCTTGCTGCCCCTTGTCCAGTAATACTGGGCCAGTGATTTGGCTCAGCTGAATGGAGAATGTGGATTGAATTAACCAAATAGTCTTTGTTGTAGCCTGTGCCATAGGCAGTAGCTGGTTCTTTGAACGCAGGTGTTGGTTTAATATATTGAAATGGACATTTCTCTTATCTTTCCAACCACAGGATTGATCTCAAGTTAAACAAAAAGCCAAGAGCCGTAAGTATCAGCGCTCTGTCCTTGTTTTCATTGCTCATCCATACACTCGAGTGGCTGACTGACTCCTAATCTTAAAAAGCCTGCTTCTGCTGTAATTTAAGTTCTTATTCCCGTGTTTGAGGAATATCTTGGGATGAAATAAGCATTGTCTTGTGGATTTAACAATGAGTAAGCCCAGGTAGGCTTGTTAGGAAGCTAGGTGACAGTTAAAAATCCCTCAGACTTGTCATGATCTGCAATGTTAAAAGTACATGGTTTTGGATGGTGTGTTTCTGAGCTGAGGCTTTCAAAGGGTCTGTTCTTTAAAGTGTTAAGCTATAAGGAAAAAAGAAATCTCTTTTCTGTTTTGCCTGCAACCAGTGGTATGTAGAAAGCGAGAAGACAGAGCCTCCAAGCAGAGCTGGCCCCGGGAGGGTGTTAATGTGGCTGTCCTGTCCTTTCTCTGCAGGACTACTAGACTCATCAGTGCTGAAGCTGCCGGGATTTAGGTCTGCTACGAATCCCCATGGAGAAAAACTCCAGGCAATGGGATGAGCCCGATGGCAGCTCTGGCCAAGCGCCTGCCCATGGGATGCTCCGCTCTAAAGAACTCAGATGGGGGCACAGGTAGTCCTGGACCATGCGCTTTGCATCATTTTCAAATCCCCTGCGTTGCAGGAAGACTAAGGTGTAGTAGTGGTAGTCTTGGGTTCCTGAGTATCCTGTGCTTCCAGCTCTGCCGGGAATGTCCTACAACTGGCTCACGCCCCTGTCATCTGTAACAACCATGGGGAGATATTTTTCTTTTCCACTGGAATCAGGGTATGATTCTGTATGTGCCATCCACGCTGTAAGACTGCTAGCTTACTTTTGATACTGCTATTTAGCTGTGTGAGTTTTGTTTTCTATTCTTCTTTCTTTTTAAAAAAAATCTGAAGTATGTAGTTAATAAATTGGCTTTTGTTTTGTTTAATCCGTATAGCAAGGAAGGTTCTTCATTTTGTGGAACAACCCATTTGAATTCTTACTCAAGCAGAGAAGAGGGTGGTTACCCCTTTTCTCTAATTTTATTTTAAACAGGAACCTTTAAAAGTGTGTGTAGTGCTTTTAGATACAAAGAAGGCTGAGCTCAAAGCCATCTTGCTCTTTGCTGTCTTTGAGGTTGGGTGAATTCTCTTTTTAATACAATCCTCTGTCATTTGTACATAGACAATAAACGTTACATCTTTGTCTCTCTTCTCACGTTTTGTTCAGTTTAGGAAGCTGAGTTTCAGTGTTTTTGGTTGCTCCCCTGCTCTGTGAGGGCCCCTGTGGGTTCCTCCTCCCTCTTTCGCAGCCCGTTCCGAGCGCTCGGCGGGATGGCCAGGCCCTGATCTCCAACCGTGTCCGGCTAATCCCGCGTCAAGGCACAACGTGGATGTCGGTCAGTTCTCGCTGGTGCTGGCACAGTGCCCACGCAGCAGGGATGAGCC